TTTTTTTTTTTTTTTTTTTCACTCTCACTCTCTTACTATAGGAAAACGATTTTTCTCGCGACTCCTTCAATTTGATTTTTTAGGCCGTTAAAGCGTGCGACCTGATCGTCCAATTTGATCGTTACTTATTCGGAAAAAACAATGCATTGAAAATCTATACTTGAAATGCTTTCTCATCAATTTTGTAAATCATCCTAAACATTCTTAATAGCAAAATGCTGCGACTTTAACGAAGTTAAATTTCTCTCTTAGTAAAATTCTATGAATGCTTTATCTTTCGTAAATTTTTTATCAAAAACTGTTATATTTCAACTTTTTCTACCTGTAAACTAGATTCGAGAAAAGAATCTTTTTTTTTATATATTTCATAATATTTTTTCCAAAAATTTCACTATTTTGAATTTATTTTACCATTATATTCTTCGGTATCATATGACACGATTACACAATCTTGGAATTCTATTATATCCTCCCTCTAATAATTTGTCTTTACAAAAAAAACTAGTTAAATCGCTAAATTCATTTTAATATGATAAATAGACTTACTTTCTATATTATTAAATAATTTTTAATATTAAATTCCGCTCGTCCACTTGTGAAGAAAATGATTTGTTTTTCATTAAAACCATATTACGAAAGGTACTCTTAAAGTTTTATTCGAATTATTTGACGAACATAATTTCCTTGTTTCATTACGAATATGCCAAACGTAAATAAAAAAAAAGAGGAATTATTGTTTTAACAAATAATGTTAAGTCACTCGATCGTAATGGTTAAGCTTTAGATGTAATTGATGTTTGTAATTTTATACGAGCATTAAATTTTTTTTCGAATAAGTTGCGAAAATTTACTGTATTTATTTCATTAAACGATGATCGTCGAATTATGCTATCATTATGACAATGAAAGGAAATTTCGTATGTTACGTCAACATTATCATACAAACATCATTGAGACCAAGTATTCATTCTTTATTCAGAACATATGATCTTTTTATAAAAAATTACAACAAAAGAAAAAGAATCACTGCCACTATAATAATCGAATATCTCAAATCAAAAATAATAATATTACCATAAAATACATAAATAGAATATTAAATATTATGATAAAAATATTGAATAAAAGAAATATAAATATATTGAATAGTACGAAATCAATCGCTATGCACTGTAATGTTTGCTCCTATGATCAATAGAAAAAAAAACAAGACTAGTTAATTTACTAAACAATTAAATAACTTTGTCAAACTTAAAAAAAAATTACTTACCCGCTATGCTTTTTTAATGTCTAACAGTAATATTTTTTTCTCCCTATTGATAACATTTAAATATGTTATAAATCATGTGTTAACTTTGAAAAGATAGTGGTTGGGATGATGATACTGAGAATTTTATGGAGACAATTAAAATTGAATTCGGAAAATGAGATTAATACTCATCAAATTAATGAAAAATTAAAGCCTAAAAGAATAATTAAAAGGAATAAGCTAGCCGAAAAGTATCTAGTATATTATATGGAGTAAAACTACAAAATTACACCAGCTATAATTAAAGATTTTTTGCAAAAGAATGATTATATTTAAAAACAAATCAATCAATAATACTATAAATTATAATAAATACAAGATAATAGGATCATAATATTCTCATATTCTAACAAGAAGTAACTGTCTTACAAAACCTTGGTCAAGTATATTCGTAGTAGAAAAGCGTCAAAATCTCATTACTTATAAACAGTATAACCGTTTCGAAATTAAATCCTAAAGAATAAAAAAAGGTTTAATGATCGTAACCTTTTTTTTTAAAATAATTATGATGAAAAAAAATTGATCAAATTGAAGAATATAATTTGATCGAGCTTTGCTTTCCATCCTTTGTTAAATTACTTTAAAATCAATTCTTATTATTCTTCTTTGTTCTTTATTTCCTCCTTAATCGATGGAACTGTACTTATGGTGGTAAACTTTAAATACTGTAATGTGTCAATGAGTGATAAGTGATAACTTTGAACAAAAGTTTGGTGTAATAAATTTCACATTACGCCGTCTAAATTCCGAATTATTACGTCCCATGTACAGTATATATTAGATTTATTTTCATTTGATAAACTTTATTCTTTATTTATTTTATAATTAATTTCTCAAAGATTCATATTAAAATAGTATTTACGCCAGTATTACACCGGTGTAATGCCGAATTAGTGTAATGTGCCGTAATATTTCGGCATGGCTTGAACTTAATTCGCCCCAGTATAATTAAAGTTTATATCCGTCCATCCGGATATCCGATTTTTGCGTTATCCGTTTATCCGGATATCCAGCTGATTTATCCGGATATTACCCGGATATCCTAAATTATCCGGATATCCAATTATTTTTGCAGACTAATTCAGGCCAAATTTATAATTCTGACCAGGATTACGCCTTGGTAAGATGATCATTTCCATTTTTGGCGATAGCCGTTCCACAAAAAAATATTTTTCTAAAATTCAAAAATTTCCTTTTTAAGAGGTTGTGTAACATAAATGTCTAAAAAAGGAAAGATTTTGTCATAATTCCGGCCGACATTATAAAATTTGTTCAAGTTACTCTTAACGGATAATATCCAGATATCCGTCAAATTATCCAGATATCCCAAATTCTGTATCCGTCCAATCTGGATATTCAAATATCTGCAGATATCCATTTTTTAACAGATAATGGATATAAACTCTAAGTATAATCTAATATTAGAAAGAATTAGAAACAAAAGAAATTTAGTAATTAAAGGACAAAATGTAGATTTTGTTTTTCTTACCATGGTTTATTATAGAATTCTCCTTAAGTTCAAGAAAAGGAGTAGAAATCTAATTTCTTCTCGATCTGTAGTTGCTGCTACATTCTATTATACAATATTATTTGTCAAATTTATACTAACAGATTTAATTTAGCAAGTAAAAGAAATTCTTATATGTTGCAAAGCTTTTATATAAAGCAGTATCATCTTGTAACCACCAAAAATTATACGAACGTTAAAATTGTAGATAATCAGTATTCAGTAATCACATAAATCATGTTTACGATTGGCTATTAGCCAGCGCGATGATCATCAATCATCCCAATATTTGAAATTTATCCACATGGGAAATGCATTAATTTTTTATTCTAGGTTGCATAGGTATTTAATTCAACCTATATTGCAATGAAGTCAAAAGTACAATTGTGTTAATGTAGGTTAGGTTCGATTTTTTTTAAAAAGAAAAAAGCTAAAATATTTTTTCATATTGATTGGATTGGAAGAAAGATAAAATCAATATTTAAAAATCTTCTAAAAGTATGCATTTTGTATGAAATTAGAATTTATATTAAATATTTATCATATTAACTTGTTGGTTTTTTTAGTTTGAATTTCAACATACGTTATCACAAATCCAATTGTAAAGCCTACTATTTATTTAATGAGGCGCGTTGAAAAAAATAAGATAGCTCCATAGTGTTAATGCTGACTACTTTATTTATTATTAAAATGATCATGGTATACTTAGCATTTTTTTAATTGCCTGTAAAGGTACATGAAATTGTTATCAGTGGTACATTCACAATCAAGCTAGTAGAAAGATATGACTAGTAAGTTGATTTATTCCCTGGATATAAGAAGAAAAAGCAGCATCTATTTTTACCTAAAGTTAAATTTAATTAATTCTCGTACTATTTAAGACCAATGTATTTCAATACAGGTCTGGTGATAACCGATGAATGACTGACTGATGTTAGAGGACATCTCACCATTGTATGTATCAGATAAGCTAATTGAATTTCAAACTGAATGCAAAATTTTATTTATTTATTTTATTTCATTTTTTTGATCAGCTAATCATCTCAGCACCTCTATTTACTCATGATTTTATGTTCATTCACCTAATTTGGATTTCATTTCCTTCCATAGATCGTATTTGATTCGAAAATAAAGAATCATTAACCCTCTTGTAGAATTTTTTAGCATTAATATTATATGAATTTAAATTAATTTCCAAATAAAGAAATAAAATAATGACTGACTCATTGAATGCATTTTTCCTTCTATCGACTTTTTTTGAAATTCGAGAGCTTAGAAAGCTATTGATCTCTAACCTATGATTATAGAACGAGAGTCTCCAATCATAAAAAGGAAAATGCATATTATTGTTATAATAACCAAAATTTTGTATCATTTATCTAATAGATCAAAGAAGATAAGAATGAAAAACATCTCAAAATGGTAGTAAATAAAATTACCTACACTCAATATCTATTGTGACAGGAAATGGTTGAATTAATTTTTGGATGACAGAAAAAGCTAAATATATATGACTAACAAGTATTAACCAACCTGCATATATAATTTTTAAACTTTTTTTTCTGAAGCGAAGCACTTTTTTCGTTCTTAAAGATAGTTGAATTCATATAGTCAACTTTCTATAAATGCATCACTTATAAGTACATTCCTTTCCTAAATGCACATTTGACCAAGTATATATAATCTCTAATTATTTACTCTCTATTCTTTGTAATTGCATGCTTTTTTCTCAAGGAAGTGTATTTATAAGGAGTTGACTTTGCTTTTTAATAGAATATCTGCTACAATAAAAAAATCTATTGTTAATAAAAAATAATATTAAAAGAACTATAAAACAAAGTATAAGATAACTTAGATTGCTATTTAATTTTCAGTTGTCTAATATGTTAATGCAAGCATTATCTTTCAAAAAAAATATGTATATTATACGCATTTTACAAACTTGCCAAAACCCTCTAGTTTTTTTAGCAACCTTAATCATATTTGATCAATACTAACCTGGGTATTTTAAATATTATAATCTATATTTAAATTAAAACTTTCAAGTTAAAATTTCAATTTCAAATTAAAATTTTTGATTTGAATTACAATTTCCAAAATGTAATTATATTTCAAACCAAATTTAAAAATTAAGATGAACATTTGAAAATATATTTAAAATCTGATTATCATCTTGAACTTATAGTTCAAATTTATCAAATAAATGGAAAATCATAAATCAAATTTGAAGTTGGATTATAATAGCATTATTTATTAAATTTGTAAGATAAAAGGTGATCTTTATTTGATTTTTTATATAAAATTACATATGCATATCAACAGATTAAAAATAAAAAGAGTAAAAAAAAAGAGGTATATTGTATAAATTAAAATAAATGCAAATTAGTATAACAATAAATTTTCATAATTTATAGTATTAAAATTTTTTTATTTCTCAAATTCAATAAAATCCATTATATTTCATATGTGTAATAAATTTCATTTATAATAAGATACTACTATTATTATTACTTACTAGGGAAATGGTAAACCGTTACATATCCAGAGCTTATCAGTATATAGGTAGGTAATCATATGCTCAATTAATTGATCAAAATAATTTCATGTAATATAAGAACTAATTAAATATTGATTCAAAGAATAAGTGGACAGACAATATGATATTTTGTATTACTACGGCTAGAATATATAGAATCCTTCACTACACTCTGAACTAATTAATATACAATTATTACAATATAAAACTTTTATTATCCAAAAACATTTATTATTCACTTTAAAAAATCAAGAGTCAGAAAAATTAAAGATAATAATCATTTTATTTATATTTATTCAATAAATAATACTTCAAAAAAAATTTTTTTTGAAAAATGAAAAAAAAAAGAATATGATAATATGATTTTTATAGTAAAAATAGCACAGTTTAAAGTATTTTATTAAATTAATAGTATTTAAAAATTAAAATATTTTACAATCTATTTACTATATATTTTTTCGTCTAATTAGATTTTTTATAAATCAAAATTTTCAGCAAGTTCTTTTTCCTTTGATATTTATCTGCCACTTCTTTAAAATTCTTAAAGAAGTAGCAGATAAAATTAAGATCCATAAAGTCAAATGTTGAGAATTAAAGCAATGTTTATTATATTCTTTAATTTTATCATATCAATAATTCCATCTTAATAACACATGATATAATCTTAAAATTAACTTATTTACTATAACTAATCCATCAGATGTAAATGCAAAAAATGAAATAAATTTATATATTATAATACTATTGTAATATAACTTTTGGATAATGATTTGAGGTACATTTTCAATAAAGATGTTTATGATACTACCTCAAAGCATTATTTTTTTTGATCTTTAAGTCAAAGAAGCTAAGAATATTTTAAAGTCAAATAAAAAGTATTTAATACTTGTATATATATATCAATGGCTAAAAGTAATATGTACATTGATGATAATGTCAGAAACTCTGAAATCCACTTAAAGAACAATGGATTCATTGCCATTTCAGATATAAAAATATTTATGGCTAATAAAATATTAATTATAATAGGTAAAACAAAGAATATTATACTAAATAATAATAAATAAGAAAATTAGTAATCAATTAAATTAATCTTTAAAATAATATAAATAAGAAAAAATGTATTTGTAACAGCCTGTTACATATCTTATTTGTAACATCCTTTTTTTATTTTTTTTTAATAATAAATTTAATATGTGTTTCACAAGTAAAATTTTTATATGCAAAATTTAATTTGGAAAACTTTTACTTAATGTATTTAAGACAGTTTCATAGACAAAATTTTAAGTTATAAGCAGTTTCTTGAAATTTTTTAAAAAATTCTTTTGTCTTAGTTACACGACTGATCTTTTGTTTTTGTTTACATTACGCCTGATCTTAAATTTTAATTGGATAAAATTAGGGGTTGTTACAAATAAGACGCGTAACAGGCTGTTACAATTAGATTTATCCTATAAATAAAATAATATTAAATGAAATTTCTTATATTGGAATCATCAAATATGATGTATTTTTAACTTTTAATAATATGAATGCTAGATCCATAGCAAAATCTTGTATAATCTCAAATATTGCAAAGTTTCTTTTTTCAAGATTTTTTAGACAGGCCAAAACATATAATAGTATTAATACTACTAAACCTACTATAAGTATTATAATTAACAGATAAAATTCTTCAAAATAATCTCCTGTAAAGTAATAAAATTAAAATTTAATCAATTACAAATGTCAAAAATATTTAATAAACGTCATTGTAAAAGGTGCACTTTCATCAATTAAAGATGTACAGTATATTCATTGAATGAAAGTACAGTAAACCCTTTTTTTTGATCAAAGTAATTAGATTATCAAATATTATTTGAAAGTTTAATTTGATTGTATAATCTTTAGCTTCAATTATGTTAAATGATAATAATACTTTTTTCAGAGAAGTAGGGTCATATTGCTATTTACCACTTGTTGATAACTTCTGTTCAGTTACTGGAATTATTTTAGAAAATTCTTGAATCATATTCTTGAAAAATACTGAATGATTCATTTGGAGAAATTTTGAACTTCCTTCATCGTTTAATTGAAGTAATCCTGTAACTGAATCTGAATGTTGTGTTGTTTTAAGTGGTTCTAAATATAGTAACAGAATATAAATTTTTCTATTCAATCATTAAAAAATTAAAAAAAAAATATGTATATTACTTGTTGAAAGTGTCCAAATATTCTTGCTAATTCCAATTAAAGGTTCATCTCTCTCTTGAGAGATGACAAAATTATTTTCAACAAGCACATAGTAGGTAGAATTCTGTTGGTTGAATGTGCTTTCAAAAATTGGAATATGTACTGTGTAGTTATCACTTCCAATGGTGCATAATTTAGAATCTCCCGAAAATGTTTGTCGTAATAGGTCCGGTTTATATTTATCATCATTTTGTTGAAATATTGAAACATCACAGTAGATAACTTCACTGGAGTGGTAAATGCTGACTCAATTACAAGAAAATTAAATTTAGCATCTACAGATAAAAAAAAATTATTAATCTATATGTGTATTAAAAGAAAGAAAAGAAATTAAAAGCTTACACTGATCATTTAATCTTGGTAAAGGTTTGAATAAAAATTCTATTTTATTTTTGGTCTGTTTCTTTACTCCAAAAATAGAATTATTCATCCGAAACGTATTATAATGAAAGAACTCTGACCCGAAAGATCCTAGATGGAGGTTTTGGTTTTCTGTATATTTTAAAATATGACGAAACAAAAGGATCTTCAGTAATAAAAGATCCAAATCTTCAATACTGGAGAATTTACGTGTCATTTCTAAAAGAGAAAACAGGTTTACCCACAACACCCTCTCTACTCTACTAAGGTATACGATAGTAGAATTGGCGCATGAAATTCGCCACTACTACGTTCCACCACTTCTCCAGTTGCAATATTTCTATAAAAATACGCCATTGGCCAGCGCGGTGATCCAATATTTGAAATTTATCCACATGGGAAACGCGTTAATTTTTTATTCTAGGTTGCATAGGTATTAAATTCAACTTATAATGCAATGAAGTCAAAAAGTACAATTGTTGATGTAAGTTAGGTTCGATTTTTTTTAAAAAGAAAAAAGGCTAAAATGTTTTTATATGTTAAGATTGGATTGGAAGAAAGATAAAATCAATATTTAAAAATCTCCTCCGAAAAGTATGCATTTTGTACTGAAATTAGAATTTATATTAAATATTTATCATATTAACTTGTTGGTTTTTTTTAGTTTGAATTTAACATACGTTATCACGAATCCAATTGTAAAGCCTACTATTTATTTAACGAGACGTGTTGAAAAAAATAATGGAGGTAGCTCCATAGTGTTAATGCTGACCACTTTGTTTATTATTAAAATGATCAAGCGGTTTGAATCGCCTGTAAAGCAACATGATATTGTTATCAGTGGTACATCGTCACAATCAAGCTAGTGGAAAGTATATGAAGTAAGAGCAGCATCTATTTTTACCTAAATTTAAATTTAATTAATTCGCGTACTATTTAAGACCAATGTATTTCAATACAGGTCTGGTGATAACCGATGAATGACTGACTGATGTTAGAGGACATCTCACCATTGTATGTATCGGATAAGCTAATTGAATTTCAAACTGGATGCGAAATTTTATTTAATACGATTTATTTATTTATTTTATTTCATTTTCTTGATCAGCTAATCATCTCAGCACCTCTATTTACTCATGATTTTACGTGTTCATTCACCTAATTTGGGTTCCATTTCCTTCCATAGACCGTATTTGATTCGAAAATAAAGAATCATCAACCCTCTTGTAGAATTTTTTGGCATTAATATTATATGAATTTAAAATTAATTTCCAAATAAAGAAATAAAATAATGACCGACTCATTAAATGCATTTTTCCTTCCATCGACTTTTTTTAAAGTTCGAGAGCGTAGAAGGCCATTGATCTATAACCTACGATTATAGTACGAGAGTCTCCAATCATAAGAAGGAAAATGCATATTATTGTTATAATAACCAAAATTTTGTATCATTTATCTAATAGATCAAAGAAGATAAGAATGAAAACCATCTCGGAATGGTAGTAAATAAAAAATTACCCACACCCAATATCTATGGTGACAGGAAAATGGCTGAATAGATTCTTAGATTCTTTCAAGATTTTTCAAATTACTTTTTCAGGTATTTGGAAAAAATTCCCTTTAAAAGTTTGTTTAAAGATGAAATGTGTGATGCGTTAGGAGCCTTTTGAACTAATGTTCTTGAACGCTTTTTATCAACATTAGAACGTGCAGACCTATTTCGCACTTGGAGGTTGATCACTGGAGTACCGAAACAAACCAAGATGCTTGGTTTACCATTTATCGCCTGATTCTGTTTTTTAAACAATCCTAGACTACAATTGAGATAATAATGTGCCCACTACCATAGCTCTAAATTAATTGCCGCTATTTCTAATTGATATTAATGGTAAAACATCCGATCCGTACGGATCATATTCGTTGAACAATTTCTTTACCGGATTAAATCCATTTTCAACCCGGATATTAACTGCGGTTAAACAGATACTACTAAATATAGTAAATATAGTTTGTATTTTACAATTTCGTACAATGCTTTACAAAAATATATTTGTTCTAAAATAAATAAAATTTCAATAAAAAATTTTTATCATTTGGCTTATACGGAGCTTTATTTAACAGCAAATATAGATCCAACTAAATTTCAATCAAAAGAGGTGGCTGACGTTATTGTTGTAATTGAAAAAGACTACTTTCACGAAACGTGAAATATGAGTAGATTTAATCAGATTATCATTTTTAAGGCTGATCCGATCCGGTTTTAACTCGTTCGATGATTACTATGATAACAATTGCAAGTAATATTTTATTAACTTTTATAATATACTAATTGTGTAACGGACTCAGCCTCTCCGCAGTGATCTACAAATAATTTATATAAACTCTCATTTTTTTTTACCCCAAATTTTCACGCCAAATTTTTATGGTAGAAGTTATTGATATAATTATAAGTCATATTGACAAATCCGATTCATCAACGTTACTAAACGTTTCTTTGATCAATAGAGAATGGTGTCTAATTGGGATACTTCATCTTTGGAAAAATCAATTCATTAATATAAATAGTAAAGCGCGCTTCAAAGTTTACTCAAAAATTCTTTTATCTCACTTAGACAATAAAACACAATCCTTCTTAAAAGTAAAAGATTCATTTGGTATTCCACGTCGAACAACTTTCAATTACCCTTCCTTTATCAGACAAATTAATTTCGTGATACTATGTAATTTAATACATGGTTAGAGCAAAACGAATTTTCTTCTCATTCAATAAATCAAGAAATTGATTATAATAATGAGAATAGTGGTTTGCTATCTTACGATTATAGTAAACACAGCGATGGATTTCAATTTAAAATTGAAAATTTGATATTTCTTGAGGTCTTATTTAAATTAATTATGACAAAAACCAAAGGAATTGATTTCCTTCGAATTATATCATTCGAACACGTATCATATATATATATTTTAATCAGTACTAAAGAAACATAAAGGAGCTTGTCAAGACTTAAACAATTTAAATGCAAGGGAAATTTCTTAAAAAGAGATTTGATAAGTCTTATTACGGGAATCTCGCATGAAATTTCAACCTTTTCGTTATCTCTTTCAGATGATTTTGATCAATATTTGGAGACGATTCATGTGTCAAAGTTCCTTAAAGATAAAAAAAAATTAAAAAAATTAAATGTAAAACCAAATAATTTGGTTACTTCTAAGTATATAAGGAAAGTAAGAATGAAAACTACTGGAAATTAAACTATTTGAAGGTGATTTGAATTATGTGATTCAAATTTATATAAAAGTCAGAATTTAAGAAAGTTGTTTTTCCTAATCTTTTAGACTTGGAAATTATTAACTGTAATTTTTTATCATCAGATGAATTATCATCGCCTATCATACCTTTTCTTATTCATAACGAAAAGAAAATTATGAACATTCAGATCAGATTTCTTTTAAAAATTTCTAAATATTGTTCAAACCTTGTAACATTATCTGTGATATACAAGATGAAACCGAATTAGAAATTTTTAGTAAAGTTCTTAAAAGGTGTCGTAGTCTAAAGGTTGTCGATTTTGGAAACAGATGTAAATAGCAATATTTTGTTATAGAAATATTCTTTACCTTAACAATATTAGCCCAAGAAATCTTAGAAAGTTGAGAGTAAGGTACTGGAAAGTAGATATAGATGTTTTTAAGGAGTTCTTTAAAAATTATGGTACTTTCCTAAATGAATTTGAATGTTCATGCACAGGAGAAGAACCTGATATCAGAACATTAGTAATGAATTTAGTGAAGGAAATGAATAGAATTTAGTTTATTTATTAATCAAAGAGGTGGAATTTCACGTGATTTTGATTTTACGCATCAGCGTGATAAGATGACGGACAAGCCATATGATCACTGGCTAGGAGAATTTGGAAATAAATTTAGTCTATTTTTAAAATTAAAAATGTTTTATTGTATGTACTAAAAACAAACTTTGTGCAAATTCAAGAGTGAATCAAAAGGATGGAAAGCTGAGTAAGTACTAATTCTTTGGTTAATTCGTATCTTTTGATCTTTAAATCTTATTGTATCTGACATCATGTAGGTGTTGCTTGTGATAGATTTGGATATAATTAAGCACTTGTTATCATGTTACAAGGTGATATATTTGATCATTATTAGAAAATAATACAATGTTCCTGATCGCATCATTGTAGAAACGAAGGTAAATTATAATTTCCTATGTTCTTTTATTAATGATCTTTTCTAATGTAATAATTGTTTTTAAATTAGTGAAAAAATGAATTTGATTAACATACAAAAATAAGTATTAATCAATTTTAATGGATCTAAAAATAAACATTCGCTATTTTAAATTAAAATACATATTGTAAGCTCGCATTGATAGTAGTAGTTAGATATATACATGTATAATATTTAATTTTTATTAGAGATACAATAAAAGTATTCTACTAACTTTTAATATAATATCTCGCCTTTTTTTTGGAAATAAATTAAAAATTGAATTATACCTGTATGGAACATAACAAAATTGGGCGGAATTAGATCAGAATTAAGATTTTTAGTCATGTCAAATCATTAGCATCACGTAATATAAATTGAAAACCAATTGTCACAACATATAAATCTGGATAGAAAAAAACTTCTTGGAGTAAAAAAAAGGCATTTAATCTTCCATTATAAATGTTTAAATGAAATTTTTGAATATTTTTTAAAAAAAATGAAACCACTTTATATTCGTATTTGTTAGCCTTATGAAGAATTTCTGTCAATATTTGGAATTTTAAAGGTTCTGATGTTTCTCATCGATTCGAAGTGGAGTTTAGTACCAAAGCAAATTTTCCAATTGTTTACAACACAAATTTCATCTTTAAAAAGTTGACATATCATTATAATAATAAATTTAGAATTAAATTTTCTTTTACTAAGTTCCCTGAGATAAAGAACTTTCAAAATTACGTTGTGATTCAAATGTTTTTTCATCAATTATCTCAAATAAGTCATAATTTACAAACAATTTTTATAGATTTTAAAGATTATACATAATGATTTAAATGACTTAGAAGGATTAAAAGAATTAAAAGAATTAATTTCTAACAGAATAGAATAGAAGCCTTTCATTTTCTAGGTTACAAGTACTAAAAATCCTTTTTCACAATATCAAAAACCTAAGTGTTTAGTAAATTTTTAAAAAATAATGGGAAAAAAACCCTTAAAAAGATTTTATATGTGAACTTGAGAGGCAGAAATTTCATCTATTGCTAATTTTTGAATCTTTTTATAATTTTTAAAAGTAATGAATTACATTTATTACAAGCAATATTGGATGTCAATACTTGAAAATCATTAAAATTTAGTATGGAAAAGAATATTTAAATGAATGGAAGTACAGTCAACTCTCTTTATAGTCACACATTTGGGACAGTCCATATTTGGTGATTATAAAGAGATGTGACTATATAAAAAATTTCTTATATTTGTATATTATAATTCCAACCAAAAATTAATATAATTTTAGCCAGAATTATACTTAAAACTTTATTGTATCGTAACTTCTCCAATATTAATCATAGAGAGATGATCTTACCTCCATTCGATTCGTCTTGATGAGACGGTTCTAATGGTATGAAATACATCAAAATCCAATCACTAGATTAATTTCCGAAATTAAAAAATATTAATGGTTTTTGTGTAATAACTCTGCCAATATTGATCCTAGAAAGACGATCTTACTACCATTCGATTCGTCTTGATGAGACGAATCTAATGGTATAAGATACATCGAAATCCAATCACTAGATCAATTTCCGAAATTAAAAAATATTAAATGGTTTTTAAGTAATAACTCCGTCAATATTGATCACAGAGAGATGAGCTTACCACCATTCGATTCGTCTCGATGAGGCGATTCCAACGAGCTATAAATCGTCTTTTTACAATCACTAGGTACCGAGAAATCTAGCAAAATGTTAAATGGCGCAGTAAACGTAAATCAAGAAATATTATAATGCCGATGTTTAACATTTTGTTGAATAACTCGTCAGCCAGTGATCGGAAAAGGATAAAACTACCACCATTCGATTCGTCTCAGTGAGACGATTCTAACAAGCTATGATACATCTTTGTACGATTATTAGATGCCAAGTTATTTAATATATTCTTTATATAACTGTGATTATAAACGGTTCTTTTTAATATAAGATTTTTGAGGATAGGTGTGATAGTGACTATAGATAGATTGTGACTATATAGGATAGATTTTAATAATAAAGTATTTTAAACATTCAACTAGTGTGACTATATAGTAGAATGTGACTATAACAGGAGTGACTATAAAGGGAGTTGACTGTATTAGAAATCATTCAAATAGCTTTCATCAATTAAAAATATAATACTAGTTCAAATTTAAAATTTGTATCTTTGAAAGATTAAAATCATTTTTCATAAGTTGGGAAAATAGGGTATCAAAAAAATTACTAAAGATTATAATGAATTATCAGATCAAGATTATGATGAATTATTAGATAAAGAAAATATAAAAATAGTTATATGATAGATAATAAAGAAGTAAAAAAAGTATATGAGAATAACTAACAAGATTAAGCTTAGGTAGGATTTTTTAAAGAAATTGAAGTTCTTTTAGAAAATAGTTTTTTATATTAGTATTAAATAAATCTTTATTTTGTATTTATCATACAATTGTATAATTTATTTACAATAAATTTATTATAATTACTATTTGACTCAAATTTCACTTAATTAAAAAGTACTTCAATTTATTTGTATTTAGATCTGAATTTTTTATTTTAGAAGTCTATCAAGTCTGAAGTGATCAATTGAGTTCTTTTGGATGTAAAATTTATTTGCAAATATATGTTTCACATTTATTTCTAGAAATTAATAAAAAACTTTAATTCAGATAAATCTGATTGATAAATACAATTTATTTGAAGTCTATAGTAGATGAAATAGCAAAAGAAAAATGTGTTGATAATTCTAGTAAAATTTCATTAATTTTAGCCAAATTTTGTTAAATTTGTTGTACTTGTATTATATTTGTGTTCAATACTTCAATATGTATTGTAATATCTTCTAAAGAAAAGAAAAATATATATATATATATATTAATAATATTTTTTATTTTTTATTAACTGCTTTAATATTTGATTTCTACTTTCTAAACAATATACACTTGATTTTAAAAAATTATTACTAAAAAATAACATTTTACTAATGATATAATGCTTGAATTTTTATTCTTTCTATAGTAACTTTTTTTTTGACTATTTTTGTTAGGAAAAAGAAAATTTGATATTCATAAATATAAAATTTAGTAAATACTGAAGTATAAAATATAAAAAAATAATATAAAATAAAAATGGTAATATCAATTTTATAGAATATAATAATTACTATTAAAAAAAAAAGTAAACATCATTTATAAATCCATTTCTTTTTTTTTTATTTAGCTAAGTTTATAATAATAAATTAAATATTAGACTTCTCTATTGAATTACTATAAATATGTAAAACTACTTTCATTAGATAATATTCCATTCTTACTTCTAGTAGTCTAAGATAATTTTATTGTGATTTTTTTTTAGAATAGTTACTGTAAAATTGTAAAAATAAGCATCTCTTTTTTGCAATTACGTGATCACAAAAATTGATAGAATGCTTATTTTTGCAATTTTTTTTTACTCCTTAATTTTTTTTTTACACGTCTAAAAATATATTTATTCTTTTTTTTTACCCCTTAATTTTTTTTTATGTGTCTAAAGAATATACTTGTTCTTAAAAAAATGATAAACAAAAAGGTTGGTATAAGAAAAAGGACTTCATATTTGATAGAAGAAAAATTGATAGTAGTTAAATATGCTCTAGTAAATGGAAGAAATGCTGCAGCAAGATTAAGGTTGCTTGCTGAAACTTAGGGGTTTAGGCAAGATAGCGTTTCGCTGAAAAGCGAAATTCTTCTGAAACTATATTAAAGTTATATTAAAAAACCGGCGAAACTTTGGAGAAAGGCGAAATTGCCGAAACTTATTATAAATGCTGAAACTGCCGAAATTCTGCTGAAACTATAATAAATCTATAGTAAAATTTTGACAAAACTAATCGTAGGATTTTGAAGAGGTTTAGACAAGCAACCTTAAGCAAAATATTTTGATTTAAATGCTCTAATGATCAGAAGATGGATTAAACAAAGTGATAATTAGGAAAAAGAAAATAAAAAAAAGAAATATATTGGATTTGGTAGAAAGGCTTTTTATCCAAAGGCGGAAGACAAGTTATATAAATAGATAATTGAACAAAGAAAAAAAGACTTAGCAGTTAATTATACAATGGTAAAATTACGAATGCATAAAATTCTTAAAAAGCCTGTAATTCAAAGATTATATCCAACAGAAGATGATAAGTTTCAAGGAACCCTTACTTGGATTCAATCATTTATGATAGAGTTTGGATCCATATATCTATCATTCATGTATCCACACGGATTACAAATTATGGATATCTATTTTGTTATTTCAGATAGTATCCATGGATAAATAATTTTATATGGATAATCTGTAGATAATCCTTATATTCACAGATATGCGGATAATTCTCGTATCTACAGATAATCCTATGAAATAATCTTTAAATTTATGTATAAAACTCATTAATAAACTTAATGCCAATGCCTTTTTCTATTTATCAATTATTGACATTGTGATACTATTATTTAAATACAAATTAAAAAAATTGAACATATAAAAAATGCCTTTTCTTTATAAACTGGTATTATTGTAATACTTTAGTTTAGTTTAGGAGTTTGGATTTTGGAAACAAACTTTAGATA